TTACATTCTAGTCGAAGAATCCAACTGACAAAACCAAAGAACAAAAATAGCAAAGCAACTAGGGAATAAAATTGCCCTTCTAAAATGTGAATTTTAAAGAATCTCCTAATTCAATCATTTTACTATAAATGCTCAAAGGCAGTTATTTTAAAACAGTAACTTTTGCCCAACATTCTAATACACATGCAGAACACACATTATTAAATGACAATACTTTTTTTTGCTTTTTTGGTACTGGGGATCGAACTCAGGACCTTGCGCTTGAGAGGCAGGCAGTGGAACCACTGAGCTAAATCCCCAGCCCAATGACAATACTTCTTAATGGAAATTGAAAAGAAACCAGCAGGGCCATATTTCAGCAAAAGTATTTCTAATATTTTATTCTCAATACCCAGTAAGTCTTAGTATTTTTGATGTGTACAGTATTAAACCAATTAACATATTGCACATCAACACCCAAACCAATTATCCATGCTTTACTACACCTGCCCAGGATTGTCAAAGCCCACGTTCATGTTCTCCTGATTCAGGGCTTTCTTCTCCTTCAGAGAAGGTCCTAGTCACCACTCTGCTCCCAATTTGAATCTTTGTTAACCGATACAAAGCATGAGCTATGCCATATGCTAAAATATAACTACCCGAAGGAAATCAGTTAAAATGTTTTTCAAGTTTACTCCTTTTCAAAAGGAAGCAAACAAAGATTAAATGGAGATTCTTAGTACTCTTTTACCTATATTAAGACCTATGCATTAGCTTTACTTTGTTGAGCAAAACCAATCATATAAACCATTTATGGAAAAATTCAACTCACAACTCTTACCACTCAACTATATATGAAAATCTGGAATGTACACATCAATTCTCAGAAAGCTACAGTTACACATTTTATGCCTACTTGCTCAGATGATTTTGGACTTCTTAAAAGTGGTATACCCAAACCTAAGGAAGAAAGATAACAGGGGGAAAAAAATCACAGTTCGACAAAGTTATGGTTATCCACTGGTTATATATAGCAAAATATGGTTTACCTTAAAAATGCCACAATTCTACAGCACCACTTGTTAACTAAGGTTTTATCAGTTCACAAGAATGAAGACGTCAAGAGGTCCATAAGCAACCCAAGCCCAGTTGTGAGCTCAACAACTGGACACCTTAACCAGGAGAAATTACTTTTACCCCCTGGCTTTCCTCTAACAGCAATCCAAAAAGCACATCAGGTTTATTCATTTTGTACTTTGCAAGATGACTCCAAGACATTAAATATGGACTGAGGTAGGAGGATCCCAGGAGTGCAAAGCCAGTCTAGGCAATTTAGTGAGACTTTCTTAAAAATATGTGGGGGTGGGGGAGGGTACTGAGAAGGTATACGTCAGTGGCAAAGCATGTTTTGTATGCACAAGGCCTTAGGTGTGAGCCCCACCATAAGAAAAAAAAAAGAGACATTAAATATGGATCATTTTTCCAGAGGAAATTCGAACAATGGTTAACAGATTAAAAAAAAAGTATCTGGGCTCATGCTGTTAGCTCCAGCTACTCAGGGAGGATCACTTGAGCCTCCCAGTCATTCAAGGCCAATCTGGGCAACATAGCAAAATCAGGTTTCACAATCCAAGAAATGCAACTAATTGGAAAAGTTTGTTATTGGGATTAAGTTGGAACATTTATTGGATATGTGCCTTTTGTCAACTGTTAACCTGATATTTTTTAAAAATCAAAGCATAAAAACTATATAGATTATCTCTCCCATATAAAAGCCTAGAGTTCTACTAGAGGGTCACTATTAGTGCCTTTTTTCCCCTTTAAGGTAAAATATATAATTTCCCCACCCCTATTTCCTAAATTGAACTTTTTCACATTCTTGCCCTAAAAGAGGTATTTATTTGCACAAAGTACCTTATGAATTGTAGTAACTAGCCTATCTACACCATCTCTCAAAATAAACCCAACTTCAGTAGAAAATGGGAGCCAAGGTTTCCTATCAATATGCCATTTGAACACCACACTAACTTACCACAACTTGGAACAAAATTTTAAAGTCTTAATTATTTACATTATTTCCTTAAAAACCAAGCAGACGGCTAACTTGTACTATTACAAAAATTACTAGGATAACTTATACCAAATATACGAGGATACACACGCTCAGTTGGACCATTTAAATGAAAAACTAGTAAAAGGCTAAAGCAAGTATTTTCATCTAATATATATTAAAAACACAAAAGTTAATGTTTACAATATACAAATGATAGAAATATAAGCCCGCATGTTAGAAGATTTAATTGGCCATACCTTCCTCAAAAGTGTCAAATATTCATTGTATTTTTTTCCCTTTTTTTGGTGGTACTGGGGGTTGAATCCAGGCCCTTGCTTGTTCACTGAGCTACATATCCAGCCCTTTCCTATTCTTTTATCAATCTTTACTCATCAAGTTTCCATATCTGTGGACTCCAAATTAATGAGATTTTACTATAATATTCAACACAACATATATTTCTAGAAGGATGCAAACTTTTATTCCTCCATATCTGGAGATTAAATTTTATCTCAACAAGGCTAATGGTCTTTTAACACTACACAGAACACAGAAGTCCTGAGTATGTATGTATTTCTCAGACCTTAGAGATAAAACCAAAGTGCTTATTTCATAGTAGCATAGAAGTTATGTAATAAAAGACAATAAGAAAAGTCACTTATCATGTAGTCTAGTCTTTATTGAAAGACTTACTTCAACTGTGGTTTACAGCTTTGGCTTTAGTTGGCCTCTCACTGCCAGCAGGCATAAAAATCAGGGGGGAATGGCACGGGGGAAATACTAGTAGAGATGATTTGAGCAAAAAAAATGGCAGGCAGAAACACATCAAAATAAATCTCAAAAAAATTATTAAATAAAAAACATTTGCTTGCATGCCAAAGCATCTCTGCTGCTGTTTTTAATGAACATGGGAAAGAAAAGGCAACGACTCATGCTTATATTGAATCAAGATAGTACGGACCTCAATTTGTGTTGTAAAATAGCCTGAGTCTATTTTAGCTTGACAGTCATTATATTATAAATGGTACATTTGGATAAGGAGCTTTATATTTTGAAACTGTTTAACATGAAATAACTTTAACTGATCATGAAATCTTGTTCTTATCCAGATTGAGACAAAGGATACTTTAGTCACATATTTACTATGGCAATATAATTAGTCTGGATAGTTTTATTAAATTATATAATATACAACTAGGAAACACCACAGTTGTATTTTGCTGTTACCTCATTAAGCCACTTAATTTACTGGCAGAGCAAATAAAGGCAAACTAAAAATTTAATAGGTTTTTATAAAAAAAAGTAGTTGTTCATGTTTCAAAAATATTCATGAAAATTTTAATTCAGGGACACAATATAATTTGAGTGTTCTTCCTATAAAATATAAAGTAACTTTTCAAAAAATATTCCTCAAATATAGTCTGAATAAAAGAAACAAGGGCATAAAGGGTAGAAGAGTGCAACTACTGTGGTTCCAACTAATGTGCCATAAAAAATTTGGCTTAAAGTTCAGACCTAACTTTTCTGAATACATTTGGCTGTATTTCTAATGGGGAAAAGACAAAAGTAATACCGAAATTACTATGATCATCAGTATATAAAATCACCACTTTAAAGTTAATTGTAAGACTTCAAAGGTTTAAAAAAATGGCAATTTGAGGATCCCAGCTGCACCTTACTACTCAACTGTAAAGTATGTTTCCTCACTTTGGTGCCCAGGCCAACTTTCTGAATACATTGTCAAAACATGTGCACCCCCTAGCTGTCACAATTTCAATACAGAGGATTTTATCTACTTTACATTCCTGTTTTATAGAAATTTGAGGCAGACTTTATGTAGGCTGAAAAATACCTTGGAAGCAAACCTCAATCTTCTGCATTTTCCCAACGAATTCATTTACAAACTGCACACATACAACTCAAGCCTCTGTTCAGGATCATCATCCCATGCACACTACCCACAGGAAAAAAAAGTAATTAAAGTCACAACTTTGTGTACTATTTAAACTAAATATCCAATTATAAATTGGTACATCAAACTGTCTAAATAAGATGTTTTAGCAATCTTGTTAAAAAAATTCTTGGGCAAAATATATCTAATTTTTAAAAACACCCCAAGATTTTTAAAAAACACTTGTGCTATACAACTTATAGCAACCTTGAAACTCTTACGGTTTAAATCAAGGTATTTACATACCAAATAATGTAAAGCAAAAAAAAAAAAAAAATTCTAATGACACTTTAGAATTCACTAATGTATCAGAGATTTGTATGAAAAGAAAATTAAGGCTTTTTCTGTATAGGGTTTGTGTAATTTTAATTTTACACAGCCAATCTTGGAAATGTCAGTCTTAAACATTCTTATCAACCCATTGCATTCAGTGCAATGGAGTGTGTTAAGTGTTATTTCAAATAATTACATTGCTGCTACTTCTATGTTGAAGCATGCTTTTTAAACACTGTAGTTATTCAGTATTTACAATGTATATCATTTGAACTTCATGTAAAAGCACAAGTATGACTGTCTGACTTTAATACAAACACCATACTTGGAATCCCCCCCCCAATGAAATGTAATATACTAGTTTTAATAATCAACACTTTTTAAAGTTTTAAAAATATGTCTTAAATGTGGACCACAGTTTGCTCAAGTAACTCAGACAACGGTGTTCCTTATTTGGGTTGCAAAAATTCAGTCAGGCTTCAGTTTCTTTAGGCATAAATTTTCCTCCAAAGCGATTCCAAAATCATGCACTTCTTCTGAATATCATACTTTTCCTGCTGACTTCAAATGTGGTCCACCTCAGGGGAGGGAAGGGGAGTATCAGGATTCAGGACGAACTTATGTGATTCCCAGTTTTTCATGATCCTCCCTTTTTTGCTCTTTTAAAAACACAGTGAGTTAAAATACTGAACAGCAAGATAAAAATGGAATAGTATCTAAGAATCAAAATGTATTACCCATTTCTCCTATTATATCAAAATTTGTAGTCAGAATTGTCTTTATTGACTTTATTTTAGTTTTTGTACACAAAGAAAAATCATGTTCATATCCATCATGAACAAAAACTTAAAAAGGCAGAACTAGAAGACATGTGTCCTTCACCAAAGCAAAGCTGTGCTAAAGGTTCCAAACATTTCAATTTTTAAAATAAATATTTTCATTTTCCGATGTCTACGTTCATGTCTTCAGAGTGTCACAGGAAATCGAAGCCTATCATGAATTACAATTGTGTTTAGAGTCCCAGCTCACTGTGTTTGGTAACTTGCCATACCATATCCAGCTTGGTTAGGAGGAGGTATTACAGGGGGAGGAGCTTGTCCTTGAGGAGGCTGAGCACCAAATCCACCCATCCAAGCAGCAGAAGGTGGTTGACTTGGAAGAAAAAAGAAGAATCTTCAGCAAATACAACAAGAAAAAAACCAAAAAACACATCTATCATGCAAACAAAATCAAGCAGAGTCATAGAATAACAATTAGAAATCAACAAACTTACAACAAATGGATCAAAGAAATAAATGATACACATCTCACTGTCAGTCTTTTAAGTTTTAAGATAACCACAACTTGGCACAATGATATTTTTGAAGAGTATCTGAATATTTATTTTCTAAAAATGATAAACACTGCCTGTAATCCCATACTTTGGGAGGCTGAGTCAGGAAGCTCATAAGTTCAGGTCCCAGTTGGGCAACTGAGATCCTGTCTAAAAATAAAATAAAAATAGTTTTAAAATAAAAAAGGGGTCTCAGTGGTATAATGTCCCTGGGTTATATCCCCAGCACCACTACCAAGGATAAAAAATAAAAGATTCTGCACACCATCTACCCAACATACACTGCATAGATGATCTTTCAAAAGAAATTTTAAAAGGGCCAGGGATTTAGCTCAGTGGTTCTGTTGCCTGTCTCACAAGCACAAGGTCCCGAGTTCAATCCCCGTACCAAAAAAAAAAGAAATTTTAAAAACATCAGTTCATGTTGGAAAGAGTCTCAAAAGAAGAACTAGAGAAAATAGAAGGGCTAGGTTTGCCTGAGGGAAAAATTAGAAACAACTAACCATTCTATCAACAAAAACAAAAGCAAGCCACTTTCTATAAAATGAACTTCTGAGATTTCTTATGTGTGTCAAACAAGCATAAAACCAACAAATTTCTAGCCAGGCACAGTGGTGTATACTTGTAATGCCAGCACTTTGGGAGGATCACCATAAGTTAGAGCCCAGCCTGGGCTGCACAGGTAATTCAAGGCCAGTCTGAACTATAGATAGGGGAGTCCCTATCTCAAAACACACAAACAAAAAACCCCACAAATTTTCGCATGTCTAGACAAAAAATTTTATACATGCAAAAAATAAAACTTATACAAGCCACTTACAAAAACAGGACATACCAAATGTTACCCCCAAATCCCTTACCTAGATAGTAAGAGATAGACTTTTAGCATTATAAATCATACTTCATTAGATTTGTTTCTATGTTCATAATCCAAATTTCTCAATGTATGTAATTTAAACAGATCTTCTCTAGGAAACTGTGCTTTCATTTGTCAGAACTGTATCTATTTCTATACTAAAAAACCAAACTTACTCTACTCCAAATCCTTGTTGGTTCCATGGCTGCCCATATACTCCGTAAGGCGGTACTTGCCATCCATTTGCCATATACTGTCCATACTGTTGGGGGTTTCCATACACTTGGCCCCACTGGCCCCACTGACTATAGTCAACCTAGAAAAAAAGCAAATCAATGTTTCAGGAACAAGTAAGAAACACCGTATTTGAAGAAAGAGTTGGAGACAAGGAAGAGAAAAACTAAGTAAGCACCCTTATGTGAATAGGACTCTGTTATTTATCATTGTCTAAGTTTATTGGGGTGGTGACACCTGTGAAAAGAAAGTATTAAGATTCAGTTAATACCGCAAAATAATCAACTTTGAAATAGCATTAATACAATCAATTGAATGTAGCTAAATGCTTTATTTTGTTTTACTGTTTACAGTTTCCAAAGTTTTTCTGTAGATATATGAGTTGGAAACCTTAAAAAGTGGTATGAAAAATTAAATTACCTGTTGGAAGTTTTTAGTCATATCAGGAGATTCTTTACCCCAATAGCATTTAACCACATGTCCTTCAATCGTGGTACCATTCACTGAAACAATGGCATGGGCTGCACTTTCATGGGTAGAAAATCTAAAAGAAAATAATGAGGTTTTGTCTTTTGTATTTTAAGAACTTAAAATAGTAAATAATATAGAAGTACTAAAATAATAAACTGATACCTGGGAAGGGTCAAGTAACATAAGCAAAATGCATCCAATATAAGACTAGTAATAATATTACAGGTAGAATATTACCTGACAAATGAATAGCCCTTCTCTGGAAAAACTCTTATTTCCATAATTTGGCCAAATGGTGAGAATGTTTGTCTCATAAGCTGATCTATTAAAATAAATAAATAA